AGCAAAAAGACAAAAAAAAAATAAAAAAAAAAAAAAAAAAAAAAGCAAAAAAAAAAAAAAAAAAAAAAAGCATTAAGCCACAGAAACCAAAAACTAGATCAGAACGATTAACTTACAAAAGCACCACCAAGTTTGTCCAACATCCAATGTTTTGGGGCATTGAGCCTCTTCAAGTGTTTCTTCAAACCTCTCGCCTGTAATTCCACACCAATACAAAAGCACAAGAAATGTCATGATAATAAAAGCAGAAGTAAACGATATATGGGGCGAACAAAAATGGCAAGAGTAAACAATTGTCATTGAGAGGTTTCAACTCCTCTCTCTTTTTTCCAGGATTCGTCATGCAGCTCATAAGAGGTTCCACGTATTATGTCAAGAGGTATTTAAAAAAATAAAGAAAAGGATATTATTTAGACATATGGCCGGAAAAAGTTCACTATGAATAGTGGTGGCAATGGGCTGGCCGAGCCATCTCAGCCCATCTACCCACGAGCTTGGCTCATCACAAGCTGGTGCTCGAGGGCAGCCCACGAGCTCAAGATTTTTTAAAATTTTCTTGACTTTTTTGTTCGAACTTTTTACGAGCCCATGAGCTGTTCGCGAGCTCGACGAGCTGAGCCTTGGCGAACCTCCTGCTCGGCTCGGGCTTTGGCTAGTCCCAAAACGAGCCTGAGCCGTCCATTTGGCCGAGCTTTAACGAGCCAAGCAATTAATCGGTCTTTTGCCACCCCTATATGAATCTTTTGGTAATTATTATGTGGTGGTACAAATTGGGGCAACCTATCATCTATTCATCTGAACAGGCAAGGATATAATTGCAGTAAGTGATAAGCATTTTAAGTATTACTTTAAAACAAGAAGTGCGGGTGACAATTATACAACACATTCAGGCACAGTTTTCCAAAATATCTCAATCCCTCAGTGCAAAACCCATCTAAACTGTCATCCAAATCCAGTAATATTTCGTTGAATGCCGACTTAAAACTTAAATAAAAATTGGAAATACAAAATTGTCCATGGGAAAAAACAAACAAACAAATACACATCTGAATCCAAATCAATTAAGTTCGTACTCGTTCAGCTTATTGCATTCAAGCTCTTTAACATACAATAACAAGTCTATATCCGTACTAATAAAGATAAATCATATAGGTATATGAGGATAGCTGACCATTTTGCTGGTGGTGGCAACAATCTACCAGGCGGCGTCTCTCTCTTCCCCTCTCCCTCTCTCTATCTCGGTGCGCAACTCTTCTTTAAAGCTGTGGAGAAATAATAAACCCTAGCTCTATATTTATATATGGGCCGATCCATTAAGTGAAAAGACATGTTGGGTTTGTTATGTTGAACCGGGTTGGATTAGCCTGGATCCGAATAAAATCCAATTATTATCCTTTTAATTTACAACAAAAAGTGAATTCATTTTATTTGTCATTAGATGCGAATGGCATTACTTTTTTGGTATAACGTAAATAATAAAATAACGTTGAGTTAAATTTTGTTATGTAACTCTAATCACAATATAGTTCCAGAGATATGAAAATATTGAAATAATTTAAAACCATGGAATGGCTCGGCTCTTTCGTATGTCTCCTATCAACGTATTTGACAATTAATAACAGTTTTAACCCCTTTTTGACAATTATTATTTGAAAACTATTTTTTTTTTTTTTGCAATACTTATTTTCAACAACATATTCACACAATAAAATACTTTAAACTCAATTTTATATTCTATTTTTTAACTGTACATTTTTCTAAAATTCATTGTTCAAAACAATTTTTTTTTTTTTTTCAAATAATGACCATCAAAACAGGGCTTAATTTAAACCAATATAACAATTGAGTACTATTAATCGTCATTATTTGGTATCTTTAGAAGTGAGTATAAAAATTTGTGTAAATGGATCTAGATTGTAAAATTAACTTGAATTAAAATTTTGTGATTATTTGTTAAATTCATTGGTAAGAAAAACGATCATCATTTATTATTTATTCATGCCTAGCTAATGAATGAGTTGTATTGGAGAAGGCAATGAGATGAGGAATCCTCAATTCCTACAGGGATCTACCCGAATGGGGCAAGGATGGGGCTAATAAACCAGTTCTATATCAGGAGCAGGGGATCATAGTCCCAGATCCATTTAAATTTTTCTTTTTCTTTTTTTTTTTAAGTGAAAAAAAAAAATTGAGAAAAAAATTTCAAACAATATATCATATTTATAAATAAAACGAGTATTGGGACTGACCTCGTCCATCTCGCCCCCCACTTAAGTGGAGATGGGGACGGAATGGGATGGGGAAATTCTTGGCGGGGTCAACAGTGTTCTTGCTCATTATACTTTCTTAACAATTTGACCTCGATGAAATATCACATATGGATCTCTATAAATTTAAGAATTTTTGCTTGGGCTGTATTATTTGGTCTACATATCGAAATTGACAACATTTGAGAGTGACAATAAGAAGATTAAAATATTCACATTTACTTATTTTGTGAACCAGAGACAAGGCAATGTGTGATGAAATGATACTACAATCTTTTATCATCCCTAATACCACATTATATTCATGCCCTTCTTAAATGATAATATAAACATTCTTCCAATTGCATCAATTTCTGGCCTTAAATGATCAAAATCACCTTTGAAAGCCAACAATGGAGTTTTTTGACCATCAGAATTAATTGGTCCACACCTTCTTTCTACTGTAAAAGGGGATTCGTCTTAAGAGTCCAAGTGATTAAGTTCGGAACTTAACCGGGGATATAACTTATTAGGAACTAGGTTCCACTTTGCAAGACTAACTTAATAGGAGTAGTCTAATTCAGGTATGGAAGTATGGAAGATGAGTTTATGGAGAATGTAAGGTTAAAAAATAGGAAAAAGATTTTAAAATACGTGTATAATTATTTTATGGAAGAATGTATGATTGAAAATGATATTTGAAAAAATACATTTTTGAAAAAATAAGGCTCAAACATGGCATAATTTCATTACTTACACCGTGTCCGGCTAATGCAAGTGTTTGTTAGCACTTTCCAAAAATTTCATTATTATATAAAATGACTTATTGCATGTTTTATCCCCCAACTATTAAGATTAGTAACAAATATCCCTCGACCAATTTTACTAGCACATTTCATCCTCGATCTTTCAATAATTAGTTAATTTTGCTTTCCAGCCGTTTTGGTAATTAAAGTTATGTAAAATGATGTATTTGCCTTGTCTTTAAGCCCTTGTTAGGGCGGATTAAGTGCCAATTTTTTTTTTAAAAAAAGGACAGTTGGGGCCAATATATCACTATTTTATTCCACAAATATCTGACTACTTTTCTGATTATGTCTCTGTTTGTTTTTCATTCTTTTCTCATTAAAATAAAAAATATGACTGTTATCTATCACATCAAATCATCAAATTTGAATTTTTATTTCTTGTGTGGGGCTCGTAATGACTATATTTTTCATTCTCATTCTTTCAAAAATGGAAAACAAACGAGGCCTATATGTTGTACTTACTATTTGCTCATATTCCAAATTTGTCCTCAAAATCGATTCACTTTGTAGGGCCAATCAAATATTGCTGTCAAATTATAAAAAGACGAAAAGGGCATGATGGACTTTTGGTTTATGTTAAAACACTATGCTTTCCAAAAATTAGCAGAACTTTGGCTGTATTTCAAATAGGCGGGGGACTAGTGAGGTGATTGAAAGATCAACTTTTTTTTTTTTTTTTTTAACAACAATTACGCCCAGACATGCGCTAAATAAAGAAAAGGAAAATAAAGCAACAAGATGTAGTGTGTTTGGGCCATATTATTTTGAAATAATGTATTTTAAAATAGTAAATTGATGGAGAATGTATGTTTAAAAAATTAGGAAAAATTTTAGATTTGCATGTAATATTATTTTATTAAAGAATATGTGGTTGAAATGTCAAATTACTACTTAATAATGTATTTTTGAAAAGAATACGGCTCAAATGGGGCGGTAGTAACAGTAGAAAATTATAGTGAAACTCTCAAAACTTAACCTACATTTTCAAGGTATACTGTAAGGAATAATGCCATAAGTACATGGCACTATTCATACAGGGGCCTTAAAAGCCCGTAACTGTAAGGGCGGGTCGGTGGGACCAACTTGCATTAATAAAAATTTGTGCCGGCCTCACCCCTGGTGTCTACCTCTGCCCTGTACGTGAAGACAAGCCCATACTGTAAGGCATAAGACACTCTATCAGCTTTGCCTGAGATCAATTCGTCCAAAATGCAACTTCTAGCCCTCAACTTTGCACTGCAAATGCAGAGAAGTAAGAATATGGGTCCGTCTGTTGTAAAACATTTTATGATAGATTTTATGAAAAATTATATTTTTTTGGAAAATTTGTAGTTAAAAAATAGAAAAAAGAATTTGTGGTTAAAAAAATAGGAAAAAGTCATTAGTCCACAAACAAAATCATTTAAATGGACAATGTGTTTTTAAAAATAAATTTGAAAAAAAAATTAAATTTCAAAAAGTTCGTACCAAAACTTGATAGAAGAAAGCCAAAAGAAATGCTTCCGCCACTTTGGGGGAAAAAATGTTCGAAAAACTTTTCCCTATTTTAACCAAACATTCTCCTAAAAATACCACTCAATGCTCATTTTTTTCCTGATTAATGAGAATCAAATAGGTTCTTAATGTCACAAAGTACCAATATAATGTGTTTGATTGTCAATATTTTTCATGAAAATATCATTTTTCATTCAAATTCCTACTTTTGCACTGTTTGATTGATATTTTTTTGATAGAAAATATTATTCTACCTTTGGTCACATGAAAATATGGAAAATATTCTCTAAAATGAGTGGATTTTTATTTTCTGAGTAATTTACTATTTCTTTCTCTCTCATCTATCACATCTCTCCCACATTTACCTACTAATAAAAAATGGACAAATATAACATTTTCTAGGTTGAAAATAAAATCGTTCAAACACATTTAATTGACAATTTTCATACAAATAATTTTTAAACAATTCAATTGTCTAGAATATATATTTTCTTTCTATGTAAATTTCATACTATCGATCAAACTCACCCTAAGTTTCTAAGTTATTATGTGATCGTGTTCAAACCAACAAATACTTTAAGTCAAATGTCAGCTTACTCAACCCCAAACTCGAGTTCCTCAAAAGTTGATTGTTCAATCCCTTGAATTTATCTAAAAAACTAGTGTGATAAACATGCGTTGCACATGAGTTTATCAAAGTTAAGAAGAATGTTCATAGATTAAAAAATGAAAACCTTTTTTAGTTATTGCTTAGATCATATCTTTCCATTTGGTTCAATCTCGATCAGATTTACACAAGGAAATAATCGTGTATTTGATTATGTACAATCAAAACAATTATCCATCTAACTAATAAAATGAATCCACAAAAAAGCAATATAAAAACTTCATCAATATCATACTACTTGTCCCTTTGTATAAAAATTAAACCATTCACATGATCAAATGCATGGCTTTTGTGGATGAGTGCGTGCATTATATTTATTTATAACAAACCACAACTAACAAAAATGATTTCACAAAAAAAAAAATAATAATAAAAAATTAAAAAAAATATATAAAGACCCAGAGGATAGGAGATGAAATAGAAGAACAGTAATTTATGAAAATTGATACTTTTATTGATAATTGGAGAAGATTTAAATATTACAGAGATGATTGAAAGATATTTGAGAGAACAAATTACAAAGAAAAGTAAAACTTCTTCTTGCTGAATTCGCTCTCCCTTGAAATGAAATCTTGAACTCTTTTTATAATGAAGTCCGGACTTGAAATTTCTTTCGTTTTGGGGAAAGAATCTTGAAAAGAAAAGTGGACGACATCATAATGGAGCATCTTGGAAAGCAGTATCAACTTTAGTCAAAAGTTTCCAATTTTTTGACTTTCTTTAATAAAGATAATCTTTTTCTTTATTAAAGTAGATATTGATGTCTGACACAAAGTTGATAGGAATCTTGACAAATGTGGCACCACCGATTTTGAATTGGACAGAGATTGAGAAGAATTTCTCTTGCTTGATAGACCCTTGAATTTCTCAATTCATCAAGAAAACTGGGTCCATGTAGTCATTTTGAAGTTTTCTTTGAAGCCTTCTTTTGAGCTTTAGCAGCTTTCTCTTGAGCAAGAAACTCCTTATAGTCACCTAGATCAACTAGGTCATCACCATTATCAGTTTCTTGAGAATATTGAGATTCCTCTTCTTGATCAGATTCATTTGTTTTTGAAGATCCTTGTTTAGAAATTTG